CTAACCAGTGTGTGTAACTTTAAAACCTTAAACTGACCTGAGGGTGTAACTTAGTGGTAGAGCACTTACTTCACACACATCCGGTCTTGGGCTTCATCCCCAGAATAGAGGGTGGGAGCTCTTAAGCAGCTTGGGAACTCTAAGCCTTATGTTCATTTATCCAATGGAGCAAAGAATTCTTACCTCAAAGACCAATGAGCACTTGGATTCCCCAAGACCTACATAAAGCAGCTGTCCCCATGTGGAGCAGATGGCAGGGCACTCAGTAATTGTGAGGTTCCCAGAAGTCTCTAGAGGACAAGTACAGTTTTTCTTGTGGTTGGCTTTTGTGTCTCTCCCAACCTGACATACTCTAGTGGATGTATAAGAAATCATTACAACTATCTTTTATTGAGTGCCAAGATGTGAAGATTTATCATTTCTTCAATGTACTTCAGAGGTAGAGGCAGCACATTGGAAGTGACTTACCTGAGGACACACAATCAATAGTAATGATTCTGTCCCTGTAACTCAGGTCCCTGACTTCGATGTTCTCTCCAGACAGACATGACCTACAGTTCCTTGTGTTTTTGTTGCTCATATACCTGTGTTTCCTAGATGTTCATCTATAAGGCAATATAAGAGCCAATGATAGTGCACTGCATTTTTCTGCTATCCCATCATCCATTAATCTGATGTCAATGAATCTAATATATAGTGTAGCATTATATTTCCTCTTACTACAGTTCTTTTTGTTTTGTTTTGTTTTTTGTTTTTTGAGACAGGGTCTCACTATGTAGTTGAGACTGACCTGGAACTCGCTATGAAGCCCAGGCTGGTCTCGAACTCACGGCGATCCTCCTGCCTCGGCCAACCGAGTGCTGGGATTACAGGCATGCACCCCCACTCCCGGATCCTCTTACTAGATGCCTCTGATAGCAATGCAGATTTGTATTGCAAAATTATATCTTTAACAGGAGTTTAAAATGAGGTTGGAATGAATTAACATTTGTAAAAGATTTCATATGCTGAACTCTTTATTTTTATTTATAATTCATGATAATCTTCTGATACAGGTAATCATTTTCTGGATGGAAAAACTATGACTCATGGAGGTTTTATCTTTCTTTCTTTCTTTTATTTTTTTTTTCCGGTAATGGGGATTGAACTATGGACCATGCGCTTAAAAGGTAGGCGTGGAGCCACTGAGCTAAATCCCCAGCCTGCCTCATGGAGTTTTATTAGCTTTCTGAAGTTTATACAACAAGTCAATAGTGTTTTAGCTCTTAATCTGCATGGTAAATAATGCAATTCATTGTTAAAGCGTATATTATATAGTGACCATGTGATGCCATGCACATAAAATAATTCAATAATACCGCTTTATGAAGATGATAAAGATGAATTATCATTCCTTGGGTTTAGATACCGGGGCTATTGAGTTTACATGAATTTAGTTAAAGCAAAAAATGTCAATGTATGGAGTAGACCAGCTTTTTGGCACTACTTTGAAATGCTACCTTATTCATATATTAAAAGCCCATTAGCTTTTCATAGATAGCATTTATCAAGTTGAGATAAAAAAATCCATTTCAATTTTCTGGAGGGTTTTTATCATCAATGGGTGTTGAGTTTTGTTGAGTGCTTTTTCTGCATCTATTCAGGTGATCATATGGTTTTTGTCTTTGACTCTGTTAATAAAGGGTATTACAGTTATTGATGTATGTATGTTAAACCATCCTTGCATCCCTGGGATAAATCTGACTTGGTCAGGGTGTATGATCTTCTTGATGACCTTCTGTATTCTGTTTGCCAGTATCTTATTGAGGATTTTTGCATCTATGTTGATTAGGGAAACTGGCTTACAGTGTGCTCTTTTTTGCTTGGGTTTTTCCCTGGTTTTGGATGGTGCAACCATTATGGAAATCAGTATGGAGAAACCTCAAACAACTAGGATTAGAAGTCCCATTTGACCCAGCTATTCCTCTGCTGGGCATCTTCTCAAAAGAACTTAAAGGATCATATAACAGTGATATATGTGCATCCATTTTTATAGTGACACGGTTTGTAATAGCTAAACCTGGAAACAGACTAATTGCCCATCAACTGATGACTGGATAAGGAAGATTTTTTTAACAAAATGGAGTACTACTCAGCCATAAAGAATTAGAAACTAGAGACATTTATAGCTAAGTGGATGCACATTGAGGCCATACTCTTAAGTGAAATAAATAGGATACGCTGAATAGTTTCTCTGGTGTGAAAAACTAAAAGTGTAAATGAGGATCAAAATGTATAGCTGATACTGTGTAATAGGAAAAAAATGTCTAAAGGTGTAGGGGAAAGGTAAGAAGGGAAAAGAAAAAAGAAGAGAAAAGGAAAAAAAGGGAAACAAAGTCTTTGTAAATAGGGAAGGGTGGAGGGGGTGAAGGAAGGCCAGGGAAATGGTGAAAAAATAAAAACAAAGATATGTCATGTAAAGGTATAAGATCCCAATGATGAATGTAACTGTACTGCAGACCTAAAATGTACCAATAAAAAAGGCAATGAAAACATTTGAGTATAGAAAAGCGTTCTTATTTTCCACTAGATTCCTATTTACGGAGCAATGCCACATTGTTTAATTATTATTATTAGAAGTTCCCATATACTAAGAAGCATAGATAGAACTCATTAGCTTTGTAAGATTGAATCATCTCATCTATTAATCTGACCTCCTAACTCTCTAAACATTGAACAATTTAATTTTAATTTTGTCTCAAAATTCAAATTTTACTTTAGATCTTCAATAATTGCTAAAAGTTGATTTTTAAAGTAATCAGACTGAGGACCAATGCTCTTTTTTTTCTCAATACTGGGGATTTAATGGCACACTATAACTAAGATAAATCACTAGTCCTTTTTAATTTTTATTTTGAAACAAAGTCTCACTAAATTGCCCAGGCAGGTCTCAAACTTGCGATCCTCTTTCCTCAGCCTTCTGAGTGGCTGGTATTATAAGCCTGTACTACCTTATCCAGTGCATGACTATTTTTAACCTAAATTGTAAAGTGGTTTCTGTTTGAGAAATAATTTGTTAGTGACATACTTATTTCAAGGGCTACAATGAAGATGCAAATAGGAAGAGTAATGGATATAGAATAGTATATAGTGTTTTAGGAAAATAAATATAACAGAGGAAAGCAAGACTTGAGATAGCAAAACCAGAAAAAGACTTGCTATAAGAGAACAGGAAAGGGAAACTGAATGCCCCAAAGAAGGTAGCAAGAATAAAAATCAGGGAGAATTGGAAAGATCCTTATGAGTAGTTAAATACCGTTTAATGGCATTTTAGTCAGTTATGCACTGTGTATAAAATAGTAGTCCCTTAGCAATGCTTTTGCTATCCTAGTATCTGTAAGTATCCTCTGTGATTTTTGCACAATGACAAAATTGCATAATAATGTAATTCTTAGAGTGTGTCTATGTCACTAAATGATAATGACTCTGGTGACAGAGACAGAATCAGGGATGATTCTTGAATTTTCTTTTCTTTTTTTTTTTTTTTTTTTTGGCTTGGGCAGTTAGGTGATTTCTGAGGGGTCATCAACTAAGATAAGGGACATAATAGGAGGAAAAGAAAGTATGGTGAAATCACTTGTAAACACACTAAATTTGAAGTATATCAGAGATGGATATGTGAGTGGATATGTTGAATAGCTATTCAAAATGGAACTGAATCTAGTTGATACTGAAATTTAGGTGGAGAAATAATCTTGCAAGAATGTATAGGAAAAAATTCTAAAATAAAAACTACTAGGAGGGCTAACTCTACCTACCTATATGAATTTATAGTCCCTATAATTCAAGCTGGTTTATGAACAGCAAACACACCAATGGAATAGAATGAAAAGCCCAGAAAGTTTCCCAAGTGTGCATATAAATTTAGTATGCAGTAAAGGTGGCATTTCAAATCACTAGGGCAAAATGGACTTTTCAATAAATGATGCTGGAACAGTTGAGTAACCCATTGGAAAAAGAAAACCTGGATTGTGGAGTTAAGATTCGTACTTCATTCCATACAGGAGTATAAACTTTAAATGTAAAGAAATAAAACTAGATGAAAACTAGATGTAAAGAAATAATACTAGATGAAAACATGGTGAATTTTTCTTTTCCCACATGTGGAAAAGATCTCTTAACTATGAAGCAAAATCTAAAAGCAATAAAAGTTTGATAAATTCGACTACATTTTTAATGCATAGCAGAAAAATGCCATAAGCAAAGCCAAAAAGCAGCAGACAAGCTGGAAGAGAATATTTGCAAGATATACAAAAAAGGCCTACTAAATTTAATGGATAAAGAATGCTTGAAAATGATGAGAGATGGATCAAAGACTCAGTTAAAAATGTGGAAAAGACACAAGCAGTTCACATAAATTAAGCAAGAAGGCAAAATGAAATGCCACTGATTCATCTACAGTCACATTAGTGAAAATTTAAACATATGTCATACATTGTTTGAAAAGTTTCCGGAAACATTCTATTTTCTATTTAGAAAAAATGGGTCTGAAATTTGGGAAGGGAATAACCTGGAGATACAGATTTGCGGGTCAACAGAGTGACAAATGAGACCATCCAGGCAGAGAAAACATGCGAACTGAGGAGACTCAGAATCCCAGGGAGCGCTGCTATTCAGAGTGGCAGCTTAGCTTCCAGAAGGCACCACCACTACCAGGTTATAGAGTCAGGTAGCAGGTCTTGCAATCCGACTGTCAGTGTTTAGAGCTGAGGACTCTTGGTGAAGTCTGATGCCCACTCTAAAAAGCTGCCACGTCTGTACTGGGTGTGTGAGAGGGATACTGTGCTGCGAGGATGCTAAAAGATGCACAAGGTAAAGCACCTAGGTCAGGAAGCTTCCCCCCTTCTTCTGGGTGACCTTTCCCTTTGCCCCTACCCACACCCCTCCTCCTGTCTACGTCTTCTAGGTCCCTCAGAGATGGGAGTTGGGTGGGGGGAGAGCTCTGGTGACGTGGCGCTCACGTGACTGACCGGGCACCTACTTGGGCACCAACCCCAGCTCCCACTCTGCGGTTGGGTTCCTGCGCTCGCGTGGAACCAGCGCCTGAGCTGCCCACGGTGGCTGGCGAGCGGTGAGCGGCTTCTGCCAGCCCAAGGAGGCACGGGCCTGTCCTGGGTCCTCCCAAGTCGGTAAGAAGCCGAGCGCTGCCTGCGGACCCCGGCCAGAGGTAGAGGTGGGTGGCAGCAAAGGTGGGGTGAGGACGGATCTGCGAGACGGGTGAGGAGGGGGAATAGAGCGGACAGGGGCGGCGGGGGTGGAGAAAGGGAGGAAGACCCCCACAGTCGCCCCGCAGCCTTCTGGACCCCCTCCCCCCTTTCCTCTCCCCCATCCTTCCATCCCTTTTTGAGGAGACGACAGAGGGAGGCATCCCGCAGTGCGACAGTGAAATGGAGATGCATTCAGGAAATAACTCCCCTTTCATACAGAATGCCTAAGAAGACAAATTGACCTGGCTGAAAGGAAGTTAAGGGAGGGGGAGATTGCTCAGAGAAGAGATCAAGGCAAACGCAAATGTAGTTTGGAAGGCATCCTCTTTAGGTGTCTAAGGCCTGAAAAGAAATGGCATCTGGGGTGCGCAAGGAGTGGGTGATGGAGGAAAACGGCTGTGAGGAGGGCCCGGATTCAGGAAAGGAATTCAAGTTTCTGGGAGCCCACTGAGTGTGCAGCTGTTGTCCCCATGTCCTGTGTCTGCAGGTGTGCGCATTTGTTGTGGCTGACGCTCTGTGAGACCTGAAGAGAAGGAGCTACCTGCCCAGGATCCCCACAGGTCAGTGCAAGGGTGGCAGCATGCACAAGGACCCAGAGGGAACTGCCTCTCTCCAGCCACCAGGACTGGGCGGGGCAGAATGTGGGGCCCAGCATGCCTGTCCCTACAATATACAGTGCGCAACATTTTGCCATGGTGAGGGACAGGGCCAGCCAGGGAATTGCTGGCTCTCAGTGACAGGAGGAATGTGGTGTGAGTGGGAGGACAGAAGGCACACCTGGGGGCCAGGCCAGCTTGGGAGAACCCTCAGAAGGGAGATGGGAGTCTTATCTGGACCTGGGTTCCAACCCTGTCTCCTCAGTCTCCTGTTTCCTTTTCCCTTCACCCCTACCCCCAGGACAGGAACAGAATGGAAAATCCCGACCTGGAAAAACTCTGCAATGAAAATGAAGAAAAGGAAGAAAATGCAGAAGAAAAAATAGAGCCTGAAGATGAAAGAAAGTCAGAAGAGAAAGGGAAGCCTGACCATGAGGGGAAGCCAGCATGCGAGGGGAAGCTAGAGGGTGAAATAGAGCCAGATGTTGAGGGACATGGGAAAGAGGAGGGCAAGCCCGAAACACAGGGTAAGTTGGGCAAGCCACAGGATGAGGGCAAGCCAGAATCCCAGGCACAGCCGCCCAGCAAACAGCAGGCTGCTGAAAAGCGCCCCATGGAAGATTATGTGCCCCGCAAAGCAAAAAGAAAAACGGATAGGGGGGCTGAGGATTTCCCCAAGGACTCTCAGGAGAATTTACCGAACAGTCATTTGAGCAGGCAGGGGATGATGAGAGAGTTTGCAGACATGTCAAGGTCTCAGGAACAGCTAAAGAAAAAGCAGAGGATGAATAATTTTCATTGGATGCAAAGAGAGCTACTAGATGCATATCCCCCAAGGGGCCCAAGGGGGATCAGGGGAGTGAGGGGTGGAGGTAGGAGCCAAAGAGGATTGCAGGATATCCCATATCTTTAATTCCTTTGGTCTTTGATTCCTACTTTGCTGATGAGCATAGTCCTGGACCTGCTTACCCTGGTAGATATTTTCTGGATCCTGTGCTTTAACCTTAAGCTGATACCTTGCTTTAGGTATTACTGTCCTTACCAACAGCCTTTTGACCCAACTACAGCGCTTTGCCTTTTAGTACAGTACTGGATTTTCTTCCATATGCATGTACATTGTAAAACAATAATAAAAAAGTTTGCAGAACCACATATTTCGTTTCAGCCCATTTTATAAAAATGTAAATATGTGTGCATACCTCATTTGCACAGAGAAGACTGAAAGTGTGTACACTAAAAAAATAAGCAGTGGTTATTCCTACACAGTCAAGAATAGGTCTCACCTGCACTTCAAAATGAGCCTGACTACCTGCTAGTTGTATAAATCCATGCCATTGCTCAGCTGCTGTCTCTATCTAGGGTCTTCCTTAGGTGTAACCAGGCCAGTAGGTAGTGCTGCCCCTTTTCCTGGGTACCCTGCCATGCTATGGCTCCTCTGTGTGGGATTCTTTTCTGTTGTTTTTCACTCATCTCCACCTTTTCTCAATAGATAGAGATTACATTTGCCATACCACAATTTTTTTAAAAAAAAACTAAAAAGAAAACCATGTATGATAAGCAATTAAACTATTGAATAAACTTATGAGGGCAGTGAGGACACTTAAAATCCCTGTTGGCAGAATACAAAGTAAGTAAAATTCACATTGCCTTTGGGACTCATAGCTAGAGAAATGAACCTGGCACTTAAAACAGATCCATTGCTGTAAGGTTCAGTCTTGTCTTCTGTTACAGGGAGAACAGTTGCCTCACAGGACTACCCAGTGGATCTGATGACATGCTAAATATGTGAGCTGTAATAAGCTAACTCCCTTGTAAGAGACTCTGGGTCCTATCAAATACTTGGCAGGACTAAAGGTGGTTCTCACCTATTCCCAGGAACAACTCCAAGCAGCAGAAAAGCGGTATTACTCTTCTCTGGATACTTCAGTATCTGTTGGGCATGCCTGTCTCACTACTCCTTGTAACTATACTCCCTGACCTGACATTCACTTCTGGATGATACAGCCCTTCTGATTCCCTACAGTCCCCACAGATCTATAGCCCTTATTTGACTCCAAAAGGAAAGGAAAATGCATACATAAAGTCCTCCCAACTGCAGATTTTAGAACACTGGATTTCAGATTTTTGAGATTAGGGACACTCAACAGTAAAGTCTATGCAAACATTTTTTTAAAAACCTCTAAAATCTGAAACATTTGTGGTCTCAAGCATTTCTGATAAGGGGTACTCAACCTATACTAGTAACATGGATTCCTTGACATAACACCATGTAAATGCCTTGTATCTTTTCAGTCAAATGTTACTAAAATTTATCAGAAATAAAATTCAAAGTTATCTTTCTGAGCTCAACTCACAAAATAGGTGAGCCAGCCTTGTGTTCTATTTTTTAAAAGTTTATCTCAATTACTCTCTTCAAGGAGAGACTGGCCTATTCAATCTCAGTGAAGAAAAGTTTTAAAATCTAGAGTCTAGGAAGGAAGAAGCCCTCTGCTGATCAGTTTTCCCAGATACCTGAGGAAGTATTATTTAAAATACTCTGAAAAGGTGACATGAGAGAAAATAGGGTCATTCTTCCTACATTATTCAGGAAACCAGATCTCACAGGGTATCTAAGAAACAGGCACAGAGCTCCTGCATGTCAGATGCCCTGACCAATGTTTTAGTTTTATACCCATTGAGAGGGTCTTGAGATCTAAAAGCTATAGAGCCACATTTCCCTCCAAGTAGGTTGTATCTGTTTAATGAGATAGTGATGTACCCACTGAGGGGATTCACTGCCGAGGAAACCTTCAAAAATTGGGAGGGAAATGGCCACCTCTATAGATACCATTTAGCCTCTCTCCCCATCCAGCTATCCCAGTATTTACTCAATGGGCCCACAGACAAAGTGGCCATGGATGGGGTAATAGTGCTGTGAAAGAGGTCAACACTACTAACTTCCTCTTATCACACTGATCTGTTGACTCTTACAGCTAAGTTTAGAATCTGTCAAAAGCAGAGGCCTATGATGAAACTCTAACATGGTGCCATTTCCAGAAGAAAGGTTGATTATAGTGAACCTTCTCACCATGAAGAGGCAATATTTTGTTCTTAAATGGTAACAGTTGCACTCTTCAAAATACTATTTTTTTTCTCAGTAATGAGGATCAAACTCAGGACCTTGTGCTTGCTAGGCAGGCACTGTGCTGCTGAGCCACATCCCCAGCCCTTAAAATACTAATTTTTACCAGGATATAATCCATGTACTATAAGATTAACTGTATTAAATTATACTGTTGTGAAAGGAATTGGTAAGTGACACACACAGAGAAGCACAGAATGGAAGTAAAATAACAAAAGTTTATTTTGCCAGGCAAAGGTCAATCACACTCAAATAGGCAGTGCCAGTGATCAACCCCCTACTGGGTTGCAGCTTCCTCTTTTACAGGTTTTACAGTTATGATCTCACTTAGGTGCTTACATTTCGTTTCTTTAGTTCACATTACTCATGTACAAATTACAGTAACAAGACAGTTCACTTTAACCCAGATGTAACAATTCCTTGTAGTTAGGAAGTTTACCTCAGCATTCATCTAGCTATCTATTCTAGTGCACAGGAAGTGGGTGTTCAAGGTTAGGGATGCGGCCAGATGTCCCACTTCATGGTCAATGCCTCTGGTGTCTGATAATTTTGAACTAAACAAAGCAGATTGCTGTTAGAGACAGAAGTCATTTTACATTTTCCTAACATTTTGTAGGTTTTTAGATTATTTACAAAAGTTCTCTCTATCGATACAAGTCACTGGCATTCAGTATATTCACAGTTATGCATCCATAGCCACTATCTAATTTTAAAATGTCCTCATTATCCAAAAAAGAAACCTTTTATACACTACCAGACATCGTATTCCCCACTTCCACTCCCTCCCCCGAAGTTCCTGGCAACCACTAATTTGTCTTCTATCTCTATGGACTTGAATATTATTGACATTTCATATAAATGGAATCCTATAAGATGTGTTTTTTGTGACTGCTTCTTTCACTTAAAATAATATCTTAGAGGTTCATTTTTTGTTATAGTGTGTGTTCCTATTCCATTCCTTTTCACTGTCTAATAATATTCCATTAGATGGTAAACCACCTTTTAAAAATCCATTCATTGATTCTTGGACATGAGTTACTTCCATCTTTAATTATTATGAATAATGTTGATATGAACATTTGTGTAAAAGTTGATGTTTGAACACGTTTTCAATTCTTTGGAGTATATGCTTAGAAGTAGAACTGTTGAGTAAATCTGTGCCTAACATTTTGGAAACTGACTATTTTCCAAGGTGGATTCACATTTACATTCACACCTACAATATATAAAGTTTTCAATTTCTTTCAAAACTTATTTTTCTTTGTCTTTTTATTTTATCCACCCTAGTGAGTATGAGGTGTCTTTCTGTGGTCTGACTTGCATTCCCATATTCACTAATGATTTGAGTATCTTTTCACTGGAATAGTGACCATTTGTATAGCTTCTTTGGTGAATTGTCTATTCAGAACAAAAGATCGGGTTATCTTTCTATTGTTCACTTATAAGAGAAATTTATAGAATCTAGATTCACTTATATATTCTTCCATTCTGTGAGTTGTATTTTACAGTTTTGACGATGTCCTTTGAACCACAAAACATTTTTATTTTAATTAAATCCAGATTATTTATATGCCTATGCCTTTCACATCACATCTAAGAAAATTGTCTAACCTATGGTTGTAATATTTACTTTTATCCTTTTTTCTGAATGCTATAGTTTTAGTCCTACACTTAGATCTATGATACTTTTGGAATTATCAATGATGTGATAGGTTTTAACTCATTCTTTTGCATATAGATATCTAGTCATCCCAGTACCATTTCTTGAAAAACTGTTATTTCTCATTGAATGATCATGGGACATTCCTGAAAAATCCATTGACCATAAATGTGAGAATTAATTTCTATACTCTTAATTA